GATGGTTGTGTTGCACTGCTTCTAAGTTGTTTGGGCCGCTGAAAAAAATGGGTGTTTTTTACTGTTTTTCAAAACAGCCCTAGAACTTAGAATGCGCCACTTTTGGGGCATGCTAAGTTTATTTTCCTGCACAGGAGCGGTGTTTTATAGCCAAAATCTATCAAAATTGTGGGTAGCTGCTAAGGGAGAACAACCTACTACCGCAAGGTAGACCTAACTACCAAAGCAAACGATCGCCACCTTTTCTCGGCGGACGGTGAGTGCGCCCCGTGGTCTTGGGCTTCAGAGGTAGGCGGTATGCCAGCACAAGTTAGTTGTGACCAAGTGCACATGCTTCAGTGAACCACGTCTCACAGATTCCCAACAATTTATGTTGGTCACAACTAAAATCCAAACAACCACTCTTCAAAAACTGATACAGCGGCGCCTTGTTCCCCACCCTTTTGGTGAGGCAGTCCACGAGCATCTGCTCATGTCTGATCCACTTCACAGTGGCACCCACTTCCTGCATCAGCTGCCTAATGCACTGCATCTCTATCGCCGTTCGGCGATCTTCTGTACTTCCTACCGTGGTTTTGACCAAATGGTCGAAAAGCGACTTGGCATCTACAAGGCACAGACTCTTTTGCAGCTTCTCGTTGGCGCCATCGTGACTCATAGCCACCAGGCGTCTCTTCTGCGCTTCTTCATGCCAGCGCTGCAAATCAAAATCTTTCTGCACCATCTCATTGTAGACCGTGACGGTCCAAGCCAGCTCTTGCAAACCTCTCGACATGCTCTGTGCTTCGGCGGCAAGGGTGGAATTGACAACCCGGTGCATGCGGCCCGAACGCCAGTGGAGTAGGTTTCCTGGAGCTCGGCCGGTCTTCACCAATGCTTCATCATAACACAGAACTGCAAAGCCGCCCTGTGATTTCTCTTCGGATGAGTTGGCCCACGATGCATCTGTGACCACACCGAAACACAACCGATCTTCGGGTATCGGCTGAATTTGAATGCTCATCTCAGCCTGCTGCTTCACCTCTCGGATGGTCCTGTTCAAGTCTAAGATATCTTGAATCTTCAAATGGTTCAGGCAGCCGGCAATCAACGATGCCGTGGCCGCAGCATCAGGTCGGCCTTCTTTTGCTGCCCACGTCAATGCTCCAACTGCGGCTCTGGTGGCATCTCTTTCCTCTGGGGTGGCTTCTTCATCTTTCTTTCGGCCTTTGGCCAGTGGGACTTCTTCTAGTCGTTCGCTGACGTACTTGATCATGTCAATGATGTAGCCTCCTCCTGGACGTGCCCTGATCCTCCTGCCATTGAAGGATGCTCCTTCCGGTTGGGTAGCCAGATCAACGAACTTGCCGAAGTTGAACCTGCTTCGAAGTTCATCTAACTTGCTCTCATGCTCGTGATCTCCAAAGCACAAAAGGTCGTCCACTTCTACGATGACGATGCCGCTCAGCTCGCCAGAGGTTCCGTGGTATTTGAAGGTGCATGGATCCATAGCACTCTGGACGTATCCAATCTCCAGCGTGACTTTTCGTAGGGACTTCCTCCAATGAGCTGGAGCGTCTCCTAACCCGTAGGCTCCTGCAAGGATTTCTATCAATTGCCCTGGACTCATTCCTGGCAATCCTCCTCTGGGCTGCTTGCAGAACAATCTTCCCTCTTCTCGGACGAGCTTGTCTGACTGCATGAAGGCGTTCTTCAAATCGCCAATGAAGGTCTTCCAGCCTCTATTGGCTGACACCTGCAGGGCAATGGAAATGACAGCCGTTGTGACTGTTGGAGCATAGCGGCTTAGGGTGAGCAAGTCGGGATCCTTGTCTCCTCGGATGCACCATCTTGACTTTCGACTTGGTGGTTGTCCAGGTTGATCGGCTGGTTTCCATCTTCGGACAATCCTCGATGGCAGGATCCGAGTACTTCGCCCAGCTTCTCTGAGCTGCTCTTCCAC